CTTACATATTTACCTAAGCGACTTTTGGGCCCATAGAAACTACCATGTTATTGGCTCACAACTTGAAACGTGAGATTCAAATTCGCATTACCATAACGTCACAACTATAGGTACGCATAATATCCACAGCTCAATCATAAATTACATGGCAAATTCGAGTGTCTATAATAATATAATGAAAGATTACTGAAAATATAACCTCGTAACAACGAGCATTGATCGCAAAATAACCAAGACTTTTGACTAATCATTTCTAATTTATGACTTATTTTTCTTTAGTTAGGCTTGGATGCGTCTGGATTGCCTAACTTTGTCTTCTTTTGTTCGTTAATGTATGTTTTAATCTCTTAGGTCTTAGAAATACATTAATTCTCAATATCTTCGGATTCGTCTTTCCCTGAGTCTACTAGATATTCCGGCGCCTTAGTAACAGAAATCGTGATAATTACTTCAGTGCGCCACGTAAAGCACCGGTAACCGACAAGGCAGCCAAAGGGTTAAATCAATTTAGTTAATTGAAAATTGGAATTTAAAGTTTCCAGTAGCACATATGTATATAGTAATATTCCCTTTGGCTTTTTGAAGCCGTAGAAATAATAAAAACGACTTTATCAGTTTAATTTCGCTTTTTTTACTGTCGAAATACTTTAGGTACTGTTTTCGTAGCCAGGGATCCCCGAAAATGAAGATTGAGTGGTATATAATACTAGGTATACATATATACCTTGTATACATAGCGGTATATACTCGTAATACTTACGCTAGAATGTAGCCGTGCACGTAATAAACAAACAATGGTTCAACTTGTGGAATTTTAAAGTCAGCCTAAAGATTGTAATAGATAGGTTTGTGTTCTAATGAAGTACTTTAGGGTATGAGACTTTTGAGTTATTGAACTATTGGAAAATCGATATACGTAATGAACAAAATTATCCTCGTTATGTGCGAACAATGAACGTTAAATCTGTACAAACAGATTTAACAGTAAAGAATAAACAAACACAATAGATTATCGGATGATTTGTATACTTTTTTTATTGCCCTAGTGGGCGGACGAAAATGAACATATTGTAACGTCTTCACTGTTTTAAGAAATTTATTACCTTTTTTTTTATTGCTTTGATGTGTGGACGAGCTCACAGCCCACCTGGTGTTAAGTGGTTACTGGAACCCATAGACATCTACAACGTAAATGCGCCACACACCTTGAGAGGGTTCTAAGGTCTCAGTATAGTTACAACGGCTGCCCCACCCTTCAAACCGAAACGCATTACTGCTCCACGGCAAAAATAGGCAGGGCGGTGGTACCTACCCGTGCGGACTCACAAGAGGTCCTACAACAACTTATAAAAAAAAAATTAAAAATAATAATACACTGAGATGGTGCTCCTTATTTCTAATCTCCATAGTTTGCTGTCGGCTCCAGGACAACCACACGCCGCGACCTCTTCTCCAATCGATGTGTAGATGGCTACATCGTTTGGAGGTGATGGTAGCTGTCACTAAATACGTAACTCCCATCGCTGTCAGTATCGCACCAATATCCTTAAGCCGGAACGCCTCAAGGAAAAAACCACAAGGCAGTGAGATTTCGTGACGTCGCTGTAATTGACGTTATCTTTAAGACATTGCTCCTGCACCGTGTCAATAGGCTATCTCCCCGTAAACCCCCTGCGACTCTTAGCGACTGTCCTCTTGATATAAAATGACCGAGTGACGCATGCCAATATTGCAATAAATTGTAATAATGTTGATAAGCTGATGGGGAATATGTTGATGGGGAAATAATTTCCTGTTGGGAGACTGCTATAAATTTTACAAACAGACAAACAATATTGCTGTACCTACTTGATCAATGGTCATTTAGGCTTAGGCTCGTAAGATCAGGACGGATGTAGGGCAGTAACAGTAGCAACAATGGGAAGCGTCAGAACTTAAAAAGTTCCAAATTTTTTTAAGGCGGCATACAATTTCCTTTAAAAGTCGAAATTCATTGTGTTTTCGATAAATGTCAGATTTAATTCTAGGCTTTTTTTGATACCAAACTGAATTTTTTTTCTATGACATAACTAAATTGAGTTAGGTAGCTCAAGACTTATTTCAATGAAATTCCGAATTAATGTTACAGTATGTTTTCTTTTAGCAACTTATAAAATAAAATCGATTAGAAAATATTTAATAAGTTGCTGAATAATTTAATTTTAATGTCACGATTTTCGATGATAATAATCAAGCTGTTATTCATTAGACATCGTCTCGTATCTACTTATGCCTCGATCGCCTTGACCTTGACTTTGTCCGTAGTAATACCTGTTTAACCTAATTCCTGTTACTAATTCTTATTTAGATTCGTTAATCAAATAAATAACTCGACAAATTTCGAAACTTGGCGGAAACTTTTAGCGGTAGGCAGCGGCTTGGCTCTGCCCCTGGCATTGCTGAACTCCATGAGCGACGGTAGCCACTCACCATCAGGTGGGCCGTATGCTCGTCTGCCTACAAGGGCAACAAATGAAAAAAAACTTGACTGTATTGTATAAACCAAAGGAATAGGAATTGTTTGCCGCTATTATATAAAGACTTTGCTTCGTGTCACCACTCCTAGGGGCCTGTCATTCCTGTCAACAGGTTATCGCCCCCACGCTGTGCCCCCTGCGATTGCATGCAACAATCCACACAGTTAAATAACATTCACAGGGCAATTAGAGGTAGCGAGAGTCATTACGACCGTAAGATAATGTGACTGATGTGTTCTAATTAATTGTAAATTACGACAGTTGAAGTGTTTTATTGTTACCACTTTCTTGTTTATTTATCATTCGCTTTTCCTTGTTCAATTTAATGGAAGTATAAGTTTTAAGTTAAGTTGGAATTTAAGTCAACTTAAAGGGACAGAGTGCGTAAAATCGTGAAATTGAAAAATTTTAAATCCTCGTATCTATCACTTGTAGGTACGTTTAGGTTCCGAGAATAGAAATAGGAATATAGAAATTTCCAGAAAACTTTACAAATAATTATGATTTATAATAAATTATAGGTAACACTTGTCATTAATTGGTAAGAAAAAATTTAGTTCACAAACACAGGGAAAAATCGTTTCATTGCCAAGCCGGGGGGTATGAGGCAAAATCGATATCTGAGAAGCGCATAGTAGGTAGTAGTGATGGGAAAAGAATTATACTTTGGAAATTAACAGGCAATATTGCGAATTATTCTTGCATTAAATTGTTAAAGAAATGTTTGGGAAAAAATAGTCCGTTGACAAGCATCAGAACTACATATTAAACATGGATGATTCGATCGATGATTACAATGATACTACAACGAAATGTTATCGACAATAAAATTCCGTCCGTAATTCACATGTATGACAGAAGCCGGCTTATTGTTATTAATGATTCCCAGGAATATTTAAGCCGCTCAGCTTAATTCACTATCAAACAACAATGGAATTTCGATGACACGAAAGCGAATCCCTATATAATGAAATGTTTCGTTCGAAATATTCTGTTGAAATTCACCGGTTGTACAGAGTTAATTAAATTCGTTTGACGCGGTCGGTATTTCTGTTACAAAACAGACTGATATTCACTAATTAATTGGAATTATTGCTCTTGACGTACGTAATTCGTTTTTACGTTATTGATTTTGTGTGAACATAATAATTAATTATGACTTTTGCTTTTCGAACATTAATGGAATACTGTGACTATTATAGGGAATTCCTCTAATGATATTAACCAATAAGACTTTCTTTTATACTTCACCCCTAATTAGCTGATGAAACGTAATTAGTTTGTAGACAAATCTCATCCCTTGGCCATTTTGGCTCGAAACTTAGCACAGACTACATTAGATTAGGCTGCTTAGTGTAATGGATACTTTCCAACGGTAATTATCCCACTCGGGGCAAATAGGGTATTGCTAGTATCGTTATGATTCTATTCCAAATTACAAAAATGAGGTTGTTACGTACACTGCTTTTATTTGTTAATTCCTCGACGATACTAAAGAGATATAGATCCAAAATCGAGGCATTGAATATGTCGTCGCTGTCAAACCGAAATCTGCTATGTGCAAAAACTATATTTTGAATTAACGAGTAAAAACATTTTCGTATTTTTTTATTGCTTACATGGGTGGACGAGCTCACAGCCCACCTGGTGTTAAGTGGTTACTGGAGCCCATAGACATCCACAACGTAAATGCGCCACCCACCTTGAGATACAAGTTCTAAGGTCTCAAGTATAGTTAAAACGGCTGCTCCACCCTTCAAACCGAAACGCATTACTGCTTCACGGCAGAAATAGGCAGAGTGATGGTACCCACCCGCGCGGACTCACAAGAGGTCCTACCACCAGTAAATAAAAGTATAAAATTTTATATGAAGGTGAATTTTTAAGAACTATATCAAATGGAAGCTATAGATAAACATTAAAGCTATATAACAGTCTTTTTTATACGGTAGATAATGTTATGAGCTATATAAAAGGTCAAAAAGTAAAAATCTCAAAAAGTGCACATAGCAGATTTTGGTTTGACAACGACGATGTGCTATTACAGACGTATGGCAATCCATAGACCACTCGCCGATCAAACTTGTCCATTCGCAAAAAGAGCTCCACACTTCACGTCTTATCCTTTAGGCCACAACGAATTCAGTTAATCGGAAACGGCTCCAACGATTTTCATAAAATTTAGTATACAGGGGATTTCGGCGGCGATAAACCGATCTAGCTACGATTTATTTTCAGAAAATGTTGTTTTATTCGTGTTTTCAACAATCAACTCTTCCCGACATCTATTAGCGAATAATAATACTATTTTTCTTAATTGAGGGCAACTAACCGCTTTAAAGACACAACATGATGGCGTTATCAAAAAAAAAAACAAGCAAAGCTCGGTCATTAACTATTAAGTTAAAATTATGTCTACTACTCGCTAAACTCCGAGAAGACACTATTTAAATTAATATAACTATCTTAAAATATTGTCCTTAGATGACGATTTGGAGTCGTTATTGGACGAGGTCGTCCGCGCCAGCAACCACGGAGTCTCGGCTTCCCGCAACGTCACCGGCGGACCTAACTGGAGCTTCGGCCAGTCCTTGTTCTTTTCATCTACTGTCGTCACCACTATTGGTATGTAAGCATGTGCTAGCGAAACTCATTAGTTTTTAAGATGCTTTTATTAGCTTAGTATGTATGTTTTTTGTATGTAACGGAATCTTTGATAGTAATTTCCACCGACTTCATGACATGAAATTAGCTTTAAAATGTTCACATGCATCAAGGACCAATGACAATACAATAATATTATTATATAGGCACTCTAATATTCTGACCGGTATCAACTTGATAAAAAAGATGAAATTAATTATAGTTCGGTTTGTTAATAAAGGATGTTTTTTAATAAAACTTACTAAGTTTAAGTTAAGCTGTGATATTATTAGCTGGTCTCAATTTAAAGTTCTGAACAGCAGATGTGCGACATGGACAGTTTGTGGTAATGAAAACTTTGCTACACGAATAATGATAGTCGTTGAAGAACAAAAAGTTCCATTATTTCTTTTGCGATCAATACACTTTAAAGGCCATATGGACAATTATCCTTTTTGACTCTGACACTCCGATTTTCTAAAATTTTTTTTGTTTTTATTGCTTAAATGGCTGTACGAGCTCACAGCCCACCTGGTGTTAAGTGATTACTGGAGCACTAGCGGTAGGCAGCGCCTTGGCTCTGCCCCTGGCATTGCTGAAGTCCATGGGCGACGGTAACCACTCACCATCAGGTGGGCCGTATGCCCGTCTGCCTACAAAGGCAATAAAAAAAAAAAAAAAAAAAACATAGACATCTACGACGTAAATGCGCCACCCACCTTGAGATATCAATTCTAAGGTCTCAGCATAATTACAACGGCTGCCCCGCCCTTCAAACCGAAACGCATACTGCTTCACGGCAGAAATAGGCAAGATGGTGGTACCTACCCGCGCGGACTCACAAGAGGTCCTACCACCAGTAATATCAATTTTGAGATTCCTCTCTCAGGACTCCTGGGTAATGTGAGATCCTCATATTTCTTTCCTTTCCGACAACGCATTGTAGGTTACGGCCACGTGACCCCGCTCTCACAGCCTGGCAAGTTGTTCTGCATGATTTACGCTCTGCTGGGCATACCGCTGACTCTGGTGCTGCTCTCAGCGCTGGTGGAGCGGTTACTGCTGCCCGCCACCGCCCTCCTGCGCTCACTGAATGCTGCCCTGGGCCATTTGTACCGGCCTTTCACGATTCGTCTTGTGCATCTTACCATTATAGGTGAGTATCCCATAGCTGGAATGGCCTCTTAGGCTACCAGCGAACAGGTAAGGAATAAAAAAGGTAAGTATTTCGAATGTGGTGAGCGTTTGTCATTTCAACGAAGATGTGATCTGAATTGCGCTTTGTTCAGGTAGTCGTTAGAAAAACTTATAAATTAATTATTAATGAATAAAGCCGACATTAAACTAATCGTTGTCAATGAATGTCTTTATTTAGACATAGAAAACATTATTTTAGATATTTTGCTAAACATTATCTTTACTTTCATATCAGAAATATCTCGTATAACCGAGTGACCCGACTGAGTGGTTCCGTTTTTGATGGTCCGAAAATCAATAGTTAACGATTTTAAATTACTGATACGGAAACCTTATCAGGGATAACTGGTGTTTACGCCCGTCTAATAACAAACTAAATATTTGACCGCAGTGACCACATTCCTCGTATTCTTCCTGGTCGTACCGGCCGGAATATTCGCGTACCTAGAACCGGAATGGGACTTCCTGGATTCGTTTTACTACTGCTTCATATCGCTGACGACAGTAGGCCTCGGGGACTACATCCCAGGCGACTCCCCCGGACAACCATACCGGCCTTTCTACAAAATCGCTACTATTTGTAAGTTTTTCGTTTTTGATGCGGTCCAGGATCCAATTGCACGTCAATCATGGTTTTTAACATGTCAACACATTATAGCCAACCGAATTGCGTAAATATAGACCAGATTACTAATCCTGGTGCCGCTGACCCAAACATTTCAAAGCTTGCAATGACTCGCAACTCTTTTTTTTTATTGCTTAGATGGGTGGTCACAGCGCACCTGGTGTTAAGTGATTAATGGAGCCCATAGATATCTACAACGTAAATGCGCCACCCACCTTGATATATAAGTTCTAAGATCTCAAGTATAGTTACAACGACTGCCCCATCCTTCAAACCGAAACGCATTACTGCTTCACGGCAGAAATAAGCAGGGTGGTGGTACCTACCCGCGCGGACTCACAATAGGTCCTACCACCTCGTTAGAACTCTGACATATTAGTAATAAAAATCTATTTATTTGCAATTTGCAATCCGATCCAATGTGAATCAACATAATATTTAGCTTATTCTGTACTAATATCCTGAACAGTTCGACCTCATCTTTCATCTTTTTACTGTGTATAAGAGTTAACTAACTAATGGTCCAGTTTGGATGAAATCGCTTCCGGAGTCTATTAGATCACAAAGAGAGTGCTGCTCCCTCCATGCGACATGAGATCGAAGTCTCAAATTTCTCACACCAGAACACTAACATGCTTTACGGCAGAAATAGACTAGATGGTTGAGTTTATATGCCAATTATAGTGCATTGACAAAGATCAATCTGTTTTTTTGTTTTGTCAATTGAAAGGAAGTTTAGTGTCCCTGAGTTTAGTGTTCCTAAACTTTCAGTGGGGATAGATAGATTAGATATAATTCTACATCGTTTACTTCCAGTCTACTTAATAACCGGGCTGACGTTCTTGATGCTGACCCTGACTGTGTTCTACGACATCCCCCAACTGAACTTGAGCAGCGTTTTCTCGTCCATCAAACTGGACGAGGACCCCGAGAAGATGCGGCTGAGCGGTTCCGGCGCGATGGGTCCCGGCTACGGGCTGGGCGGGCTGGTCATGCGCGACGAGTACTCGCGCCACGAGCAGCGCCGCTCCGTCGTGCACATCCGCCCGCGCCCCGACGACAGCCCCAGCCCCGACGACACCACGCCCGTGCACGCCCGGGACGTGCGACTCCCCTGAACGCCATATCCGTGTACACATACTTATTCCCGTAATGATTGATCAAGTACGAAAGAGTTGGAAATTCTACTTCTTAATTTATCATTCAACTGTAAAGACAATCCTTACGTTGGTTGCGTAATTGTACACATTATCGAATTTTTTGATTGACGGTGCCGGTACTTCCGGTGACGTCATTTTTATATAATCAATAATTCAAGTCAATGTCAAATCTTATGTTCACGTTAATATCGCAATTCGAAATTAAAGAAGTTTAAATTTTGAAATTTTATATTAGAAATTAGTAACGGATGAAATACAACAGCATTTAAATAGAAGTTGACAGTTGCCGCCATTTTCGATAATTTTTCAGCCATTTGGATCACCACAGCAATATTAATAGAAGCGTCGGTGCTAAGTAATTCTGTAAAGTTTGTGTTTAAAAATCTTCTGAATAATTGTGTTTTATAATTTTAATTTGATTTTAAGTTTTATTTAAAACTTAATTTGTGGCCGAAATTAAACATTAATTAATGGCCATTGCAGTTTAATTAAAAAAAAAATGATACTTGAAATTACTTACTACAATAGAGATCGTTCTGAGTGGTGAATAACCTTTTGTTGACCATATTTCATTTTTTGACCATGTTAGCAATATTAATTAAGTTATGTTCTTCTGACTATTTTTAATAAATAATATCTAATTTGTAATGAATCATCTTACTACCAAAATGTATAAGCTGGTGGCTATGTCTGATGACTGTACTAAAGTAATAGGTATATTTATATTCCTGTATTTTTAATGTTTTTAACTCGAATAAACTGGGTTTTTAAAAGACTGAAGAGACTTTTCAGATTTTCACTTTTCTAAATTCATACGTGTTTCTTTTTTTTTTCTTTCATTAACGCGTAAATGAAATCGCGAACATTAAGCCATAGTCGCCACAGATAACATCTTCAAGCTATCTGTGACAGACCATCATAGATATTTATTACACTTAATGACAGACTGACTTGTAATGTCGAAGTATACGTTTTTTAACTAGTGTTAAAGAATTATGTTATTGCTTTGCCTATTTATGCATAATTCTAAATTACTCGTATAATTTTATTTTAATATTAGTATGAACGAGCGAATTTTACGAAAAGCCCTAGAAAGTTAATAGATCAAATGTTTTATTAGCAATTGGGCAATCATTGGATTGTTTGAAAGCTGTCTATTCAACTGACGACATACTTTTCAAATTATGGTCTGATGTAATCGTTTATTGTGCATGTCAAGCGAAAAATGTTAGATGTTGTTGAAAAATATTATCCGTTTAAAACAATATTGTAAAGTATAGATAAATAATTTTGCTTGACTGACAGATTAGAAATTCATTTAAAATAGATTGTGAATTCCATTACATTTCCAAGTTTAGTGCAGGACTTAGTACATAAATGTTAGAATTACGTGTGATAGAGCACAATTACCTATATCTTCGTGTGATAAACCATTTAAGTAGAACTTTTAGAAGTCGATATGTATATTTATTAAAATATAATATATTGTATTTGTACCCCTTCGAAGATAGGCTTATTTATAGGTGGTTAAAATTGCAATGGTACAAAAAACAACAGAGCTTTGTACAGTATACCAAGTAGTACCTACATGCCTCTAATAACTAATGCACCCACAAAATAACTTACAGTTCGACAAGATTTTTTATGAAAGTGAGTCTGAGTGGCAATTGAGAGGGACATCAAGATCACAGATATATAAAAAGCATACCTATTATTATGTAATATTTACAAAATAATGTAACAAAAACGCTATCGTAAAAATCCCACTAGCAAATGTCATCGACCATCATTAATTCTGATTACAATACATGTGACAATATGTTGCCTCGACTGAATTGCTACCTTCTCTACGATTTGGTGATGTTGATATAAAATATTAAAACTGTACACTAAATTAGATAATATCTAGATATTGTTTACTGAACATAACACAGAAACCAGTTCCAAACGGTAACAAATAAAAAAGTTTTTTTTTTATTGCTTAGATGCGTGGACGAGCTCACAGCCCACCTGGTGTTAAGTGGTTACTGGAGCCCATAGACATCTACAATGTAAATGCGCCACCCACCTTGAGATATAAGTTTTAAGGTCTCAGTATAAGTATTTTCTTATGAACAAAGGATGCAAGACAAATGACCCCGTGAGTTTTTCTTTGTAACTTAACTGAATTTGAAATGTCATTAGAAAAAAATCTGTGTTAAAATAGTTATATACACTCCTTTGGCATAATTTTAATATTTATCAACTCAACATTTTACAATTTTATAAATAAAATTGTAACATTTGTTACATACACAACAAATTATATTTTACTAAAATTGTAAAATATAATCACAAATTCTGATACATCTTTTTTACATTGTAATAAATAAAATATTACATCAGTGCGTGCATGTTCGCCACACGTTAAAAATGCACTGATCTGTTTACCCAAAAGAGCTGAAGAAGTATAACCTCAAAATTAAATGTTTTCTACGACATTTAGGTATTCTTTTTGTATTACTTTTTTTTTTCTCAATACATTTCTTAATTTTTTTCTATTGTATTTCTTATACTGAAATAGAACAGAAATTTTCCTAGCTCATGAATAAATGAATATAATACATAACTAAGCGACTTTCTTTGATGAAAATGTATTTCTTTGGAAGCCGTGGTATAAAAATAATTATAGGATCAATTTCTCACGCTTTGATCTTATTGTTCAATGTTTTTATTTTCAGAATTGTTACATTTTGGAACTGAGGTAATCAATGCGACTTTTAAGCACAGACCGGTGTACTTTTGAAAGTACTAACTGTCCAAGAAAAACTATTACTACTGACCCATAATTTTTCCACATTCATATTTATTTTGTTCAATCAATCTGCCTTGTTGCCCGGTCACTTTCATAGAGTACCTACGATACATTGCTTAAATCACAATTTTATATATATATTGACTATAAATGTAATTTATTTTCTAGAGAACTATATATACTATTGAATACTTAGATATATTAATCTGATTGTAAAATAAAAAAAATGTCTTTATTCGACTTGTAAAATAGTTTGTAGTGTAGTTATTATACCACAATGGCTTTTTGAGAGTTTTCATAGTTTCTGTATGGAGTGTTATAACAGCATAAAACTAACTAATGTATTTAGCGGTAGTTCGTAATTAAAGCAGCTTAAAAAAGCGTTTTTATCATTTTATTTATTTATAGACTTATGTACACATTTAGAGTAATAAAATTACACAAAAACAACGTCTTGGTTTTTAATCGAATTAAAGTATCTAATCGAATTTCATGAGACCTAAATTGATTATCGTATTAAATCGGATTTACGATATCATGTTTTTTTACATCCTTTAGCAGGTTATCGCTCTGTGCCATATAGAGTTTAATAAATAGGCAGGTAGTGACCTGGCATTGCTGACGTCCATGAGCGACGGTAACCACTTACTATCATGTGGGCCGTGTGCTCGTCTGCCGACAAAGGCAATAAAAAAATAAATTAAGAAAATACGTAACACAGTTGAGCAGGATCCGCAAGTGAGCCAACACAATCTTCACAAATAATAACGGTCACTTTATAAGTTGTAATTGAGTTAACCACTTCAATGCATTGACTTCCACTAATGTATTTTAACCAATTAAAAAGGAGGTGGTTTTCAAATACAACTTCTCATGAGTATCATAATATGGTTTTTTATTTATCTATCGGGAACCTTGCAGCTCACTAACGACCTGGACTGCCCTGGTACCTACTAAATGCTTATAGATAGACATTTTAATATTAGGGCGCAATAAAAATCTGCACGTGTGGATATAGGTACCATTCTATTTCTGACATAAATCATTTGTGCTGTTCCATCGTTCAGGTTAGAATCCGTTTAATTCCATTTAATTCCATTTTATTGCATCCATTTTATCCCGTTATCAATATAATTTTGTTAATCATAATTTCATTTCAGATATCTTTGGCCTTTGTGACAAAACTTTTGGGTACGTCCCCTTTGCCTATGCACTAGAAAAAATGGATTTAAAACAACCTACAAATTTTAAATATTTTTTATTTGAGCTGCTGGTCTGGTGTGGTGACATTCGTGGATTAATCTTTAACGGGCATATTGTATTTAATTGAAACTTTAAAGAAACTCACTACAAAAATTATAGACCAGCATGTCAAACACAATGTACTTATTATAAGTTTAGAACAATTTTCAGACGTAAAGAAACAGTAACACGTGTTTAATAAGAAAAAATGAATTCACCAGTATCTGCATTCGCTGTGTATAGATCAAACAAGCAATCTAATTATGAGAAAAAGAAAAATAAATCTAAAAGAATAACGAACTCCTCAAAAGCACTTCCGATCTCCCCAAAAGCACTTTCGAAATCCCCAAAAGTTCATTCGAAACCGAAACCCATATCAGAAGAGGTGATGAAGAACGTCGCACAAAAACTGAAAAAAAATAAAAAAAAGAACGAATCTAAGAACATAATTAAAAAGAAGACTCACAAGAAGAAAAAATCGAAGAATACTAAAGCTACTAAAGGCGATGACGAGCAGCCGGTTATGAAAAGGAAAATTAAAAGAAACCGAGATGATAAACATGACAGTGATGATATTCCCTCATTAATACCTATATCTTTCACTAACTTCCACGAATCAAATTTGGATAGTGTTGATTCATGTTCAAGCAATGGCAGTATTGATTTTGAGCCTGTACAAACTGATAGTGTGGAGGAAGGTCTGAAAGTGTTTAAATGGATGATTGCTCCTTACAACCCAGAAGAATTCCTGAACAGAGTCTGGGAGAAGAAACCTCTCCATATAGCACGAAACAAGCCTGATTATTATAAAGAAATTATATCTACACCTATCATTGATGATATGCTAAGAAATGAAAGTATACAGTTCACTAAAAATATAGATATCACTTCTTATGTTGATAATAAAAGAGAAACACATAATCCTGAAGGTAGAGCTCTGCCACATATTGTATGGGATTTCTATTTAAATGGCTGCAGTATTAGGCTATTGAATCCACAAACCTACATACCAAAATTACACTTAGTCAATGCTACTATGCAAGAATTCTTTAATTCCTTTGTTGGAGCTAATGCTTACCTAACACCACCAGATAGTCAAGGTTTTGCTCCCCACTATGATGACATTGAAGCATTTATTCTGCAAACTGAAGGTAAAAAACATTGGCGTATCTATAAGCCCTTGAATGAAAATGAAATTTTACCTAGAGTTTCATCTAAAAATTTTAGTCAGGAAGATATTGGAGATCCTATAATGGAAGTGACTTTAGAAGCGGGAGACATGTTGTATTTTCCACGAGGTTACATCCACCAAGGAGTAACCATTGATGGAGAGCACTCCTTACATGTTACAATTAGTATGTACCAGAAACACTCTTGGGCTGACCTTTTTGAGAAAATGATTCCTGCTGCATTACAAATGGCTATAAATGAAAATGTAGAATTAAGACAAGGTCTCCCTTTTGATATTTATGATAACTTTGGTATAGTCAATTCAGACTTGACTACTCCACGTCGAAAAGAACTAGAACTTATAATACACAATCTGTTTGAGAAAATCAAACAACACCTGCCGTTGGATGATGCAGTTGATCAAATGCACAAAAATTTCCAACAAGACGCTCTTCCTCCTGTTCTGAATGATATGGAAAAATCAGTAACTGTATTTGGTGATACAGATGTCATGATAGAAAATGGTAAAGTTATAAACAGAGTTGAAATAAGTTTGGATACAACAATAAGACTATTACGGAAAAACATACTAAGGATGGTCTCGGAAGACAAAATCAAGCTTTATTATTACATAGAAAACTCCTTAGAATATCACGGGAATGAAATGCCTTATTTAGAAGTTGATGAAGGTTTAGCACCAGCCATTGAAACACTAATAACATCATATCCCAATTATATAGCAGTGGAAAATCTTGAAATACCAAATGATTCAGATAAACTTCAATTGGCTGATGCCCTGTGGTCTAGAGGAATAATAATGACTGAATTCCCATTACAGAATATAGATGATGATTAAAATAGGTCAATAAATTATTTTTTAACTTGCCTGCTGTATTTTTTTACAGGATTGTAAGCCTGCCAACATATTTATGTTATAAACAGACAAACATAAAGAAACAAAGTAGAAATCTGAATTTTTTGAGCCTTTAATACAATTCTAATGATAATTCAAAGATATATTATATAATATTAATGTTTAATATTATATTATAAGGAGCATAATTAAAAAAAATAAACAAAAGAACATCATTCTAAGGTTAATCTGGCTATCAATCGCACTGAAACAGCATCAAGTCATATGTAGCGATTTGTCATATTTTAGTGTAATAAATTAGGAAATGAGTTTTGTTTACCTGACTTGGTAGTTTATGCTGCTTGTATATTTGATTTTAATCAATTAAGTGAGACACTGCAATTGTAAAACCTTATATTAGATTTAGAGGCATCATACATATTAGGGTGTTAGCAGTACTGAAAGCCATGATTAATTCCTATAAATTGCTAGATGGTTATTCATGGCAAAATACAAGGAAAGAGGAAATAGGAAGAAAACTAAAGTTAATGATGAAATTATGACAAAATAGCACAAAGAAAATAAAACATGCATATTATACTCTTAAATTATTATATTTATTTCTGAATTGCATATAAATCTGTGGACTTTCTGTTACAATAGTCAATAGTTTATCTTAAACTGATATTCTGTATAAAAGGCTAAAATTTGTTTTTTAAACTATTGTATTAGAGTTCCAACTCGTGACAAAAGACAATCTCTCCACATTAGTTACTATTTATAAACAGAAAATGCACACACAATAATTTATAATCTAAGCTTATTTTTCTCTTTATAATTTTTTAACCTATTTAAAAATACTACCTAAAAATTAGGTACTTAAGATTTTCTAGAAATTTTCACACGCACGCTTCAACAGAGCTTAACAATAGCAAAGGAAATAAATGAAAAGAACATAATAAAAAAATCAGTGTTTCCTGAATATTACGTACAAAAGTACTATTATATGATTGAAATACCCCCCACAAAAGGTGTGTGATCTACCTTAAATATTGATTTCGAACCGTTAAGTACTGTGAACACGAGTTGTAATATGAAAATTTTGGTCCAAACTGTAAAAAACCTAAATACCAATTTTTATTCATCCAAATTGTCGACCCACACAATTCTAAATCTTAGAAATAAACACCGTTCATATCAAAATATATTTTTATGTGAAGCAAAAACGTCATTTTTATGATAAAAACATCATTTTGATAGTATTACCTTTTTATTTTTAAATTCTTTGTACTGATATACAATTTTTTTGATACCTAATTGAATTATCGTACTTTAGAATTTTAGCCTAAACTTACTTGTAACAACTAAAACTATTGCTTAATGTTTGTGAAGGCAAAAACACCATTTCACTTTTATTTGACCGTCGCTGAATTTATAAGACTAAATAAAAATTAATTACGTCATAATAAGTTTCTAATGTAAAAATGTAATCCTCATAAATTTAATTTTTTTTGTGCTTTTTTCCTAATTAATTTTGATTATGATATTATAATCATATTTGCAAAACACGGGCATTTCAAAAGATCCGACGTATAAAACCAGAGTGAAAAAAAATCGTCTTAAAATTCAACAGAATTACAAACATTAGTCTGTTAGTCGTAAAATATTTACATTGCAACATCATAATCCTTACTTTTAACAATTAGTCATTGTTAGTAAAATCTATAATTAAAGTTAATTCTTCTATTTAACATTTCTTCAAAAATATTTTTGAAAGGATGTTCTAAAATTGCAAAGAATTAGGCGTCACCGCACTATTCCAGAATCATTTTAGTTTTACAAGTGTGGAGTTAGTTGCCTTTTTCATACAACTATTTTATTGCTTCACATTACATTTAGTTCCAAGTATTCATAGATAAGGAGAGTTCTTTCAGAAACTCCCAAAAATATAATATGGAAAAAAACGTGCTTTATTCTAAATAAACATTTTACTGTACTTGATTTAACAATTAAATATTTAAATTCTATATTTTATCGAAAGTGTTAGATAATGAATATTTTAACACGTTACTTAGTAGTACATTGAAATAAATTATAACCAAGCCAAATTAATCTCATTTAGAATGGGGAAAATTTCACGTTTATGTTAAAATATTCATTACTAAGAAGTTTTCGTGAACGATATTATTTTAAAATTATGTTGTTTAAGTTACACCATGAAGGAAAAATAATAATAAACAATATACAGTGAACAAACTCAAATGGGACTTTGGAAACATGTAACAATTTTGTTTATTCAAAGTGGAAAGATACGAAATAATAAACAACATTGAGAAGGATCAGAATAAAAATCTGTAAAGCAAATATACTATCCTTAATTGGTCACAATTATGTATTAAAATTTCTACAGATAGGTATTAAATATTTTTTCTGATTTTTATTTATTTTGGACAAGTTCTTGAGGTCGACCTGTTTGGAAGGTCAGTGAGCCCATAGACATATCAATGCGAACACCGTACATAACAAGAGGCATGAGTGTTTTTTTAAATTTCTTCCAATTACAAGGCACTAAATGGTAACACTAATGGTCTAATTCAAATAAGGTATTTTTTGGTGATGGTATTTAAAAAAAAAGACGATTGAACTACATTCCCACCAGACTCAGAGACATTTTGTTTGTGGTGGTTCTTTTTAAAGTATATTATAGAAACACTAGCTGACCCGGCAAACGTTGTTTTGCCATATATAAGATTTCTAGGGAATTTCTAGTGTAGAAAAATAAAACTAACTTATTGTAAGCGTGTAAGGATGTGGTAGATGAGTGAAAGAGGCACGTAGCGCTGTGAACGATGAAGGAATATAAAAATAACAATACCTCATTCAACCACATAATGTCTCATTATAACAAAAAAAAATTGTCCAAAAAATAAAAAATAAATCTTAGGGGTGGACAACCCTTATCACTTAAGGGTATGAAACATAGATAGTAGCCGATTCTCAGGTTTACTGAATATGCATAAAAAATTTCATGAGAATCGGTCAAGCGGTTTCGGAGGAGTATGGGAACGAACATTGTGACACGAGAATTTTCTATATTAGATATACTATATTATTTATCATGTCTGGTCATGTTTGGTGTTTTGCATAAATACAAAATCAAAAATTTATATATTCACAAAGTAACATTTGGAAATTTGTCATCGTGGCTTTATTTAAATAAAATTAACAGAGTTAAATGAGTTTTATCAGCATTGACTCATTAAGGATGATTTATTTGATTTTATTCTGATACTCCTCAAATAAGCAATTCTTAATACACATCTTAACGGAATCGATAAATCCAGGCTTATCGAATAATAAAAATTACGTCAATTCACTAGTTTCACGTAAAATAGTACCATTGATATTGAAATAAGCTTGGTCAAGAACATTCTAGTTTTTTTTTAGGTTTTTTTCTTCAAAAATACCAAACTGTTAGAATACTACTATAAACGATGAAAGCCTTCAAACTCAACTATTAATTATTACTATTTAAGAATCGTCGCGTTCGTTGACAAATAAAAAATGATAACTTTCAACAGAAAAAAATAAAGAGAAAAAAAAAATTACCACGAAAATTCATTCTAATCGATTCTAATGATCGTCGCTAAACCGATACCGATCGATCTCGGACGCGTCCGATGGCCCATCAGCTTACATCATATAAGACACTTAAAGTACAAATCCGTAATATACGCAACGTCTATTCGGCACAATAGTCCTTTTACTTGACCTTCGTCAAGTAGAGTGAAGTTTATATTATTTCTTTGAAGGAGGTTTCCGCGGAGTGCGAGTAGTCTTGCCCGTCGACGTGGACGGAGTCGGCACTATGGGGGATGGTTTCAATTCTGGAACAAGATATAATTAAAATCAGCGTTTTCAGATATGTGTATCACAAGAATACAAGCAATTTAAAACAGAATTATAATGCGTTCAGATTTCGGGAATGGTGATTCAATTAGTGACGTCACTGTTCACATCCGTCATACAAATCGTGTACCAAAACTTCAGATTAAAATTATAATTGGAACAGGAGATTTTTTAAGATACTTCGTTATAACCACACAAAGTGATCATTAACTTGGCGTACGTGAACATCAATGTCTTTATGCAATATATTATGTACTAAAATATTCTGTCAGCTGTTTAACTAAGCGCCAAGTATCTTACGAGAATATCGGTATGGTTTAAATTTAACTTTCTATCGTAGCAAATAGAGTTTATATTAGCGTTACCTCTCGCAGAAGTCCTTCTACCCTTCCGAGTGGTGGTCGCTGGAGGAGTGTCGAGCTTGTCCTTGTGCTTAGCGACGGTTCGTTTAGTCGGCGTACTCTTTTTCGATTTGTCCGTTACTGGTGTTGCCGTCTGAAAATTAAAAAAATAATAATCTAAATGAAAGCTTTGAAACGAAAACATGAAAATAGAATATAGAATTAAACAGAATGGGTCCACATAGATTAAATTGAATTTGAAATTTCGTCTTTCAGTTCGATGATGTTCGAGAAATATCCCTCCCAATTATTGACTGAATTTGGGGCGTTGACTATGCCTTGGTTCGTTTGGCGGCAAAAATATCATTTTAAAACTCTTGTGTTTAATTAGCTATTCACTTTTAATGTGAGATAAAAACCCCCTTGACAGGAACAGTATCTATGTGGATTCATTTGTTAATGACGCGTACGCGATTACAGTTTGTATAAACTGTTTTCTTTTTACTGAACATATTAAAAAATCACTTAATAGCAAACCTTGAACAACCTCTTTGAATATTTTTAGTGATTCGTAAATTAGTAATCCAGAAATTCAGTCGACGACAAATTATACCTAATTTTAATCTCATGTGAAATTTTACATTCTAGAGCACGAAAATTCAAAGGAAAATTTATAATGCGTATTATCAAGAGGAAAAAAAATACTTCAACTTATTTGCACAGCACGTATTGCTAGAATTTCGCACATTTTTCGGGAAATTCAATTACAATGTAAAACCGTAAATAAATACGTTTTCGTACTTTTTCCTTTATTAATGCTATTAATTCCTCTCTTTCTGCAACATAATCTGGTGCAAATACATTAATGACCAATGTAAATAAACAAAGTAAATTTGTTAATTAATTAATGATTCAAAAGAGTTGCTCCCTTACCAAACTTGCGATTTTTGTGTGTACACCAAATTGAACTTGAAGAACTATAAACTCTTTCAAGATTAACATACACAACAGATTATCCGTGTTTTGATAATACTTAGCAAACATACGGATACGGAAATGAGCTTTTTTTTTCTCCTCTATAAAATCTTAAAATTAATATAGTCATATAAACTCAAGATTTCAAGTGAAAACTTTCCAATATTATACTGATCACTAAAGATATGCATAGAGATGTCCACATACACACACTCCAGTGTACTTAGTGCGAGTTTTTTAACGTTCTCGATAGCGTAAAAGTTAACTTATATTTGTATGGAGTTGAAACTTTTCCCTACGTCTGCCGCTAGAGGCGCTGTTCCAACTCCATACAAGCGTGAGTTAACTTTTACGCTATCGAGAACGTTAAAAAACTCGCACTGAGCACACTGTTTGTACCGGCGGCATGCGAGCTGCGCGCTACAGACATACACTACAACAATCGTGTTCCCCAAAAACGAACGAGACCACGGTTCTCAAAGTTTTGTATTAACAAGATCCGGGTACACCGATTTGATGACGTCACAGCGACTGACTTTATAAAATCTATAAATCGAATTTATTTATAATCGTACGAATAGTTGAGAATCGTAACAAAAAAGGTGACCTGCATTATTATTCTATATTCAGGTCCTTTAGGTTGAACGTTGAATCCTAAGTTCATATAGTTACGATAAACTTATTTAGGGCAGTTTTATTTTTATATAAGACTTTTATTTGCGTATAATTGGAATACAAAGTAAAGTATTCCCGTTATATACCTATACAAGAGTTATATCATTTTTCAAATCGAATCCCAAAGTCGAAATTTAACGGTATATATTATTTAAATGACTTGAGAATATGTCACTTAGCGGCCTAAGGACAGAAGACTCGAGCTAGGCATGTGCACTCCCCACAGATATTATTTATACTTTATTAAATATTTTCAAATTTATTAGTCTCCCTTCTGGAGTAATTATGCGCTATTGTAAGTCTAATTCTCGGAAGAGATGTTCATCATAAAACATCAAGTTTTATTCAATAGGACCTTGTTAATACAATAACTTTTCGAATTGGAATAAGTCACACGAAACACACAGAAGCAAGCGATGGGGGATGAAATGGAGATGACCTTTGAAATGTGTAGAACACATTCATACTAACACTTACATATATCTTTAAATTTTGAAACAAATCACTATTTAAAAATTTAGAAAAAAGGTACACTTTGATTGTTACTCGAATAATTCCACCGTTGTAACTATACTGAGACCTTAGAACTCATATCTCAAGGTGGGTGGCGCATTTACGTTGTAGATGTCTATGGGCTCGGTAACCACTTAACACCAGGTGGGCTGTGAGCATGTCCACCCATGTAAGCAACAAAAAAAATCTAATTCAACAAGTAACTAGTATGTAGATCCTGAGAAGTGTTGCTCTCTTATCATTAGCAGATATTGTTCGGCGGTTCTCAAATTTCGCGTGAAACCTCGAGACAACGAATTTTAATGTCTTCTCGTAGTTTTTTAAAGGCGACATTATTAATATTGGAAATAAGAATCAATTATTTATTTGCACGGTTTTAGCGGAAGGCAAAGTTACAACACTTTATGTGTACCACATACTGACTAATCAAAATAATTTTATTTTAATATTGAATTTTCATGTCGTTAAAACACCAATAATTTTTCAAATAATAGTTGTAATATTAAAACAATCCTCAAAGATTGAAAAAAAAAATTAAATTTGGAAATTTTTCATGCAAACCTTTAACCCCGTGACATAAAACAACTTTGAAAACAATAAATGCCGATGCGTGTAAAAGAAAATTTAAAAACAAAATAAAAATAATGAAAATAAATAAAAAAAAAAACAATATAACCTTTACCCAAAATAAAATTTTCATTCTGATATTTTAGGGTTGCATTATCCAGCGACAGCCAATATAAATAATGCTGTAACTTGTAACGGGGCATGCATTTAATAAATAATAAAAATTTAAAATATATATCTCTCTTTCTACATAAAATTTCAAGTGTTGCTAGTACAACTCAGTAACGACTCATTAACAACTCAGTAACAACTCGGTAACAACTCAGTAACGACTCAGTAACAACTCAGTAACAACTCAATAACAACTCGGTAACAACTCAGTAACAACTACAAGTGGGTGCGGCGATGGCGGATACGTACATGTCTATATATCCGTTGTACTATGCCTACCTTGCTTGCGGCCGCCTTACTACCTGCCGACTTCCGTTTAGATTGTTTTGTTGGCGACGCCGAGCTTTTAATTTTACGTGCGCTTTTTGGACTGCGCTTTGGCATCGTTCGCGCTTTTTTGACGGGCGTCGCATCGTCTCTCTGCAACAAAATTTCGTGACAGACATTAGCTTGTATGTATACTATTATATATATCGAGGGGTAAAAGGCTATTTGGTAAAAGCGACATTTCGCTAATCTTTGTAATTAAAGGTCCGTTTTATTTGGAATTTACATCAACAATTCGATGTTTCTAATTAAACTTCAATTAAGTTTATCACATTGAAATAGCTGAAGAAGTTTTTTCGTTGCGAAAATTTCCAAATTTTAAGCCTTCACTGGCTCTCCTGCAAAGTTGTAAAAATGTCGCTTAATCCAAATACCCTTTCACCCGTCGGTATATATAATACAAAGTACTGCTTGAATTATCAAATTTATTCCAAATGCGTAGTAACCCTTTTAGTGGTGAGCTTATTTTCGTATATTTTGCAGAAATTGCTAAAGGATTTTTGAAAAAAGTACTTTAATAAAAACTTCAGCTTGAAGAAAATACAATAAACAATGCTGAATTCACAGCAAAAATAATTTTTAAATGGTTATCTATTTATAAATGTTATTAAATTAATAAAAACGTTATGCGCGCACTAAGACACGTCCGTACTGGTCGATATAATCAAAGTGCGTAACAGTCGATATTTCGACGATCAACACTTAGTGCGCATGAATACAGAGTCGATATATCGACGGTGAGTGACTCACCGCGTCGTCGTCGGTGAAGTCGAGCTTGGAGCGCGGCGAGGACTTGGAGCTGTTCCTCTTGCGCGACTTCTTGTCGAGCTGCGACTCGTCCGTGTACAGCGACAGGTCCACTGCGGACACAAGCACGCGCCTTACCATACTACACCAACGGTCTAACGCTAGTCTGTTCTTAAATGTACTCATTCTCGTCTTATGGGCATTACTTATAGACGACTATACCCTGGTATAGACGACAGAAACTGCCAACCCGCTGAGTTTCTCGCCGGTTTTTTTTTTATTGCTTTGATGGGTGGACGAGCTCACAGCCCACCTGGTGTTAAGTGGTTACTAGAGCCCATAGACATCTACAACGTAAATGCGCCACTCACTTTGAGATATAAGTTCTAAGGTCTCAAGTATAGTTACAACGGCTGCCCCACCCTTCAAACCGAAACGCATTACTGCTTCACGGCAGAAATAGGCAGGGTGGTGGTACCCAACCGCGCGGACTCACAAGAGGTCCTACCACCCTTAGGGTAACATAATTATTTATGTACTTAGCGCCATCTAGCATAAGCTATAAGCAATATGTGTTAAAGTTTTAATAGATTGCTCGTGAGGCATAACATCTGCCCACAGCCATGATACTGAATGACGATCACGACCGCTCTGACAAGAGTGCCATGACAAGGAGGCATTGGACGCCGCGCAGGGTCGGCGACCTCGTGCGGTGGGGGTTGCTATATTTCATTCGATTGCGGTTTCGCAAAACATACAAATTTTGATATATGCAATGTGAACTACATGCTTCTACATTATAAATGATTTAACATGAGATATTAAGAGCTTACATCCATCAGGGTGTTCTTCGGTTAATTCTATATTGTTTCCACCAGAATGTTCCGCCTTCAGTGCCCGTTCGAGTATGGAGCTGGCCCGGGCCGCCTCCGCGGGCTTCAGCAGCTGCGCCCCGCCGCCGCCCGGCGCGCGGCTCAGCGACAGCGTCGTCAGCACGCACTCCATGTCTGAGTTCCAACATTGTGACTGTACTTACTGTGCTTTACTAAGCAAATATTAATTTAGGAACACTTTCAGGTTTGAGCACCGTGAGCTCACCTACTAGTTAAGGTTACCCTGAAATAGCCTCTCAAGGCTCTCAGCTTAGGTCTCTCAGCAAAAAAAATATAACACGTGTGGCACTCGGGAACTGCCGCGGTGAAGCTATTGCATAGCATTTTTTATCAACTTTTTTTTTTATTGTTTAGATGGATGGACGAACTCACAGCCCACCTGTTGTTAAGTGTTTACTGGAGCCCATAGACATCTACAACGTAAATGCGCCACCCACTTCGAGATATAAGTTCTAAGGTCTCAGTACAGTTACAACAGCTACCCCCACCCTTCGAACCGAAACGCATTACTGCTTCACGGCGGAAATAGGCGGGGTGGTGGTACCTACCCGTGCGGACTCACAAGAGGTCCTACCACCAGTGAAATGCAATGCAAACTTATGCAATTATAATTAGACAATGATAATTTAATATTAAAACAATAATAAAACAAGACCACGCTATATTAAACATTAATAAAAGCAAAACCTTAATTGTCCCCTTCACACTCATAAGCTAGACCGCGCGAGAGAGAGATGGGCAGACTTTTCATGATGCGCATGCAGTGTGACGTCACGCCACGCGCTTATTCACAAACACTACACAAGCGCAACGTAAGGTTTTTTTCGTTACGGAATTTCATGATTCGGTCGCCGCGCTCAAGGCCCGCGATAAAAGCTATCCAATAGCTTAAAAAAAGAACTTTCTCATTTTTCTAATGTTTTTAAAGAATGATCAAGATAATTAGTAGAAAGTACATGATCTCTTTTTCAAAGCACAGATCGCTTTTTGTTTTGTTGTAGTTTGTATAATTTATTTTATTTTATATGTATTTCTTATCTATGTATTTTGTATGTATGTATCTATGTATTTATTTTGGCAATATATTTGCAACCTAGTGTTTATTTTCACTCATGTCTACTATAATTCTTTAAATTATTGCCATGTATTAACTTTATCACTGCTAGGCACTTATTGAATCTTTCACTTCATCAACAAGGGTTAACTGGAAGAGAATGCCTGCATGGCGTTAAGTTCGCCTTTTATGCAATAAATCAAGTGTCATGTATTATTTAAATGAAATTAAATTGTTTAAATTGATGATACAAAATTGGGTTTTTCTTTACGCTTTATGTCACTATGCATTTGAAGGTCACGAAATAAATAAAATAAAATTAAGCCACAAGGGCGGTTTGCGACGGCAACTCACTAAGCATGAGTTGACACGGAAAATCTAAGAAAAAAAAAACAAAAAGAAAAACCTGTTTTTTCTCTGCAATTTTGCTATTAGTTTTTTAAGGTTTTTATATTTTTTACTTTTCATTATTGAATAAATATATTTTCATACAAATGATCTCCCCTAACCTCCAGTGAGGAACTTAATGAACAAACATTTCTTCTCCAGTCTAATTGAAAGGTTAATAATATATTAACAAATGAAAAGATATGAGTATACTGACCAGCATATTGAGCTACTACTTACCATAGTGATGTACATACTATACTTAGGGTATAAGTAGTATTTATTACCTCAATTAAGTTAATTACCATTTCCTAGTCCAGGTCTATAGGGTACACTCTTGGTGTGACTATACCATTTGTAATGTAGATAAGCACGAAAGTTTAATACAATTCATAACAAAAACACATTTCATACCTGTGATATCATAGAAATCTGGTTTATATGTTTCCCCTGATGGATCTGAAGATTTATCTTGGGAAAGCCAACGAATCTTGATTTTGCGTGTAGTACGGTAAACATTTTGCATTGTCTGACATACATAAAATCCACCTTCTGCATTACGTACTGCCAAATATTCATTTCTGCAAAAACGAGATGGATTAATTTTGTAATAGTAATCTATTTTTTATACTACCCAGGAATGTTGTCCATATCAACGTAATAAGATCGGGTTGTCAATCACATTGAAGCTGTTGTTTTCTTAAGCAAAAGTATAGAATGTTCAATTTAAGGTAAGGTAAAGGGAGGCATAATTACTTTCAGAAGTATTAAATTGAATTTGTTATGGTGTAACATGCTGTAAATGGGTGAAATATTTATTTACATTGTTTTTTTAACTACTAGTAGCAAATTAAAATTTGTTATCTGAAAATTAAACTGTAATAATATTAAACTTGTTAACATTTTTACATTAATTATTATTATTAGACCTCTTAGATTAGATTAGAGGTGGTAGGGCCTCTTGTGAGTAGGTACCAACACCCTGCCTATTTCTGTCGTGAAGCAGTAATGAGTTTCGGTTTGAAGGGTGTGGCAGCCGTTCTAACTATACTGATACCTTAGAACTCATATCTCATGGTTGGAGGCGGCATTGGTTGTAGATGCCTATGGGCTCCAGTAACCACTTAACATTAGGTGAGCTTTAAGCTCGTTCACTAATCTAAACCATAAAAAAAACCTTGAATATGAATAGTTTCTTATTGTTACTGATTACTCTGCTTTTCTTTTATGATCTGAAATATATCAGATCATAAAAGAAAAGTAGAGTGTAGAAAATAATACAAAATTCTTATGTTTTACATATTTTGCTTTCTTTGATCGAAACTGAATGTCCATAAATTTATAGTACAAAAACATTAAAACATAGGATGCAGTGATTTTCTATTTGCTATTGAGATATTAACTCCACTGAAAGAATCATAGAAAAATCAAGTGCAGAACTATAGAAATAGCTATACTTGCTTTTTCTTTTGATTAACAACCTAAGAATAAGAATCTCTGAATGATACCAGTAAAGCAGTATGTTGTTGAATTAGACGATTTTATAAGTCAAGACCGTACAAAGGTAGGCTTAGAATTATCTAATGATAAAATATCTACTGATATATTAACTTCAGTCAACCTGAAAGCTTACAAAGGGAGCATGTTTAAAAGACTTTCTTGTTTTCTTGAAGTTTTTCGGGACAAAACTGACTTTAATTTATTTTCAGAACTTACTTGTAGAAGACAATTAGTTTGTCATCATTCGGTTTGGTTGGTGTAGAACGGCCTGCTGAAGCAGATAACTTTGTCGCCATGGCCAATTCAGGAGTTGGAGATTGGTATAATTGCACCTAAATAAAAAATAGTTTATTATTATTAATGATAGAATTTATTACCTACACTGCAATTAAACTAAAATTTGATGAAAGTATGTTTTATATAAAAATATCACATTGCAAAATTTTCTTTTTGATTTGTTTGTTTAATTTTCTGATGATATAATTGACAATATGACGTGCATTATGAATTTGTTGCAGCGATTGTAATACATACATTATTTATGAATTAGTGCAAAAAAGCAAAAAACTATTTTAACTATAATTGAATGGTTGTTGTTTGAATGTCGTAAGCAATTTCCCAAAATTATTTATATATGTTGGTGTGGTGGCAATGTCACAATGTTTTTATAAAACAAAATGATGTCATAAATTTAAAATATTTGAAGTCTCTGTTTTTTTAATATTAATGATGACAGTATCAACAAATATTAATGTACAATAAATGTAAAATATTATTGATTAATAGTTTTATCCTCATTTTGTCATTTTTAACAATACCCAGTTTTTTGCGAATGAAAACATTTATTCAAAAATCTTTCTTCAAATTCTTTAGTTTTTTTTTAGTAGTTCTATCTTATATGTTTATCTAAGTCTAACTATCTAGTCTATGTTCTATCTTACCTTTGTCCTATTTCTCTTCATTCTAGTTTCAGAAGAAGCATCTTCAACTGACTTTTTAGCTGGAGTAGATCCATCATTAGTCTTGCTCAGTGATGTCTGTCGTCTTTTTCTCATTGGAGGTGTTACTGTCGCCAGCTTGAGAGTTGATTTCGGTTTATTATCAACTTTAATCTGTTTTGCTTCTAGTTTTTTTTCTTCAATTTTCTCATCCGAACTTTGTGGTTTCTGTTCGGTTTGTTCCTCTTTTTTTGAGCTGTCAACTTTATCTTCATTCTTTACTTCAGAAGACTGAGGTTCAATCTTAGTTTCCTCCTTAGTGTCTTTTGGTTTCTCACCTTTAACCTCTGCAACAATTTCTGTTGGAGATGCTTTCTCTTGTAATTGACTGTCTTTTGCTGTTTCTGGCTTACTGTCACTCTGACTCGGAGCAACATCAGCTGCCGGTGATGGTTTAATTTCTATTGGTTTTAAAGGTGACTTCTCAGGTGGTTCATTAGCTGTTGCCATTTTAGGTTGTGTAGAGCCTTCTGTCTGATTATTAGAGTTTGATGTTTCAGATTTTTGAGGTGGCCCACTCCAGGTCTTCTCAGGTGGTTTAGGGGTACTAGGTGATGTCTTAGCAATATCTTGTTTTTCCTTATTGCTCTCTGGATTTTGAGGTTTCAATGGACTCGGAGTGTTTGTCCCAGATTTTGTAGAATCTATGGTACCATTGGCAGGACCAGTTGAATCAGCATCTTTCTTTTCAGGAGTTCTCGTTAGAGCTAGTGGCTGGGATGTATTTGCCTTATCTTGCACTAAGCTCAATGGTGAACTTGTAGTTTTACTTGGACTCGCTGCTACAGCAGGAGCCACAGAATTCTGTGTGACATGGGACAGGTTGCCATGGTGACTCATGTTCTGAGCCATCTGAGCCATGTTTGCAGATATGGGAGCCATGGAAGGTACTGCGTGTGGCAGCAGCGGAGGCGCCGGAGCGTGGTGGGTCAGATTGTGCCCAACTAAGTTGTTCCCGAGATGAAGAGAATTCTGCGCACCTTGGGGGTGTCCTACAGCGTGGTTCACAGTGGCTACGTTGCCTTTGGCGGGACTAGATTGTCCACCGGGCTGCGGAACCCCCGGTTGTGCCAACACAGGTTTCAAAGCAGAATTCATAATGAACGCGTATGCGTCCACAAAGCGAGCTGAAACATAAAGTTAAAACAGTTTACAAGTCTGTTTTGGTTACGATGTAACGCATTGCAATGTCTTTGACCCAAAACAATATTTCATACATAGTAGAGATAAATGCGGCGCGCGCGTAAGAACGCGGGGAGCGCTCTCAACCTCGATCCCGCCGTTCTAAAAACTACTGATAATAATTGGTTACATATTTACCACTAGCTGTTTTGGTGACAATAGCCCATGAAATAGACGGCAACGACTACCCGCGAACGATTTAGCAACAAAAAATAATGCGTTGCTATAACCAGGAACTTCCTTGATACCCGCCGAAGACTTCAACTCTCACACTTGCACTTTAAAGTTTCAATTCACTAAAAATACGCAAGATCTAAATTGCAGCAAAACAATTCCATGATTTGTTAGCACTTTTAACCATGAATTTCCATTCACTTCACTCCAGAACAAGTACATAACAGGCACAGTAGTTTAGAGATGGCGTCGGCATAACGCGCATGCGCCACCCTCTTCCGAAACCCGCCAATCACCGACAATGAAAACGTGTGACGAAACGAACTGCAAACGAATTCTTCTGAGAAATGCTTCTCTCTCACACAAACTTTAACCTATAACGCTATCTCTTCTCAACAAAAGTTTTTGAACCAATAGACTAGACCTAGATAACATTTGAATTTATTGAATATTAGGAAACATAATATTTTTGTCCTTATCTAAATAGCGTTAACTGTCTCTTACATAAATCTTATAATAACTATTAAAATGTTTAAAAACCTGCTTTTTCATTTCAACTAAAATATTCGTAACCAGCATGTTTTCTGCTGTAGCAACGGCCACGTCGAAAAGTAGCTATTTCTTTGTTTGTTCACTAATAGAAGGGCTTTCCGATGGGGAACAAACCAAAAGCCTACGACTAAATCAAAGAATCCTATAGAAAGACCTGTTCAGATAATGGTGTATGATTTTTGGCCCAAAGGTATAAGTTGTTTTATTCACTCTTGAGCATAATCTCTTTTTTTGTAGCCTTTTTTTCTTCCTAGGTACCTATTCTAGTGACCTCAAGGGGTCATACTAGATTCATCGAATGAGTAGGTGAGCTCATGGGCTCTAACCTGAGGTTTGTAGCAAGCATTACCTACTCTCCTGTATTTAAATTCAGATACATTTTTTTTATACAATTAGGCCTCCATGACACTTTTAATTAAAAAGTGATTTTATCGAGCGACAACCTTACATTGCGCGAGTGATCGCAAGCTAGGATTACCTTACGTTGACTTCTTATTTCACACACGATTCTAAAATCCAAACAATATCCGCATGAAAGATTATTCTGCTGTCTGTGTATTTTACTTCATCGTATAGGGAGTGCTCTCTGAAATTGTTTGAGATAATGGCGTGGTCTTTTTATCATCCCAGCACACGCTATTAAACTTTACTATAGCAAAATAAATCTCTACTACACGGAACGACTCTACTTTCATATATCATTTTTATCACGTACTATCCCGTTTTGGAACGAACTCTACCTCTACGGTGTTCCTTCAGCGCATTGATGACCTTTTTCAATCAAAGCCTAACTTGACTTTGACTTGGCAGCAGCTTGGCTGCTGATATTGCTGATCTCTCATTGTCAATGACGATTAATCACTTAGCGTCAGATGAGCCGTGCGTTAATCTGTCCTCAAGTGAAATTTGAATTAGTAACATCAATAATTTATGCTATTTGAAAATTGACATGGCTTTGAAGAGAAGACGCCGGGTGTACTTTTATTTTGAGCGATGAGATGATGCCCGCAGGAAAATTCCCTAGCAGTTTTAAAATCAAACACGTACCCATCACAATATGTTCACAATGACTTCAGCATCAAGGAATAATGTCGGTAATAAAAATGAAACCCTCAAAAAGTATAACTTGGGTAATAAAGAGGACAGGGCACCTTGAACGCAACCCGCAAGGGTAGGATCATCAATCACCATGCCTATTTCTTAGTTTTGAGAAGGATGAGATAACCGTTATACTTTAAGTACACTTGAGATATTTTAGTTTCTGGCTTGAAGGTGGGCTACGGTATCTATGTTTTTATATCTATGGGCCCCGGAAAGCACTAGGTGAGTTCGTTCACCCGCATAAGCAATAAATAAAAATAGAACTCGATAAACCATATCCAGAGATTTTAATTCATATCTTTACCCTTGTTCTTGACAGTATAGGGGGGGGGGGGGTGTAATAAACCATGAAAAAAAATTTTTTTTGCAGTAGGCAGCGGCTTGGCTCTGCCCCTGGCATTGCTGAAGTCCATGGGCGACGATAGCCACTCACCATCAGGTGGGCTGTATGCACGTCTGACTACAAGGGCAATAAAAAAAAAATGGTACCTCAAGCGTTCGACGAGTAAATTAACCCACAGACACAGGCCACTGAGTTTCTCACCGGATCTTCTCAGTGAGTTGCGTTTCCGATCCGGTGGCAGACTCTGCGAAGCACGGCTCTTGCTAGGGTTCGTGTTATTGTCAGGTTTGAGCCCCGTGAGCTCACGTGAAAAAAAAAGATTTTATGAACATTTATGCACATAGTCTGTGCTGTTAAGCATAGATTATACACTTAAGGGGACTTTTTGGCGGGAACGCGAGGAGTGAAGTTGTGTGATTTGTTTTATTTTGTCTATTTAGTGTTTCTTCAGGTTTAAATGTGTAATAACGGTGGTTTATTAACTGTTTAATATCTGTGAAGGTGCACAAATGTGGGAAAATGAAACAAAGCCGCTGGACGCAACTTCTCGGGATCCTCCAAAAAGTCCACTGAAAAAATCTGAGTAAATGACCACCATTTTACCAAGATTATATTTCATTCCATATCATCTCACTTCATTTAATTTCATCCCAGTTGATTAACGTCTCAAATTAATCATTTTCATTTCATTTCACTCCATATTATCATTTTTCATAAAAATAAGAATATAAATTAAAATAAGACATGACTTAAAGGTCTTAGTTACCAGGTCATAAAATCACTTAAAAAAAAAATACACTTAAGGGACTTTTTGGCGGGAACGCGAGGAGTGAAGTTGTGTGATTTGTTTTATTTTGTCTATTTAGTGTTTCTTCGGGTTTAAATGTGTAATAATGGTGGTTTATTAACTGTTTAATATTTGTGAAAGTGCACAAATGTGGGAAAATGAAACAAAGCCGCTGGACGTAACTTCTCGGGATCCTCCAAAAAGTCCACTGAAAAAATCTTAGTAATTTACTACCATTTTACTGAGATTATATTTCATCCCATATCATCTCAATTCATTTCATTTAATTTCATCCCAGTTGATTAGTGTCTCAAATTAATCATCTTCATTTCATTTCATTTATCTCCATATTATCATTTTTCAATATAAATTAAAATAAGACATGACTTAAAGGTCTTAGTTACCAGGTCATAAAATCCCATAAAAAAAATTATACACTTAATATTTGAGTTTGAGACTACTAAACCCGGAAATTAATTTTTGTCGCATGTTTATATTTTTTTGAATCTTGTAAATATCAAATATCACTTGGAAACTTTCTGCAAACCGAAATGGTAATATTGCACACTAAATTAAATGAAATCTTAAGTATCATTCATTTAATGAATAAAATAAACTACACGACAAATTATAATTTGTTTTTGTTGCCCGATTACCCACCGGCTCTAAAAATGTTCTTGTAAATCTTTTTTTTTTCAATTTGGGATAGAAATTATGATTTATTTGCACACATGACACCCACTAAGTATGTATTTTTTTGTAAGAATAACCTTTTATAACCTTAGGAGGTGCTGTCTCGACCGGCCGAGGAATTCGGAAATGATGAGACCCTGGAACATCTGTGGGCCGCCAAAGCTATAGAATACAGTGACATACATTTCAACGTAAGTCCAAATCTAATTAAATAAATACGGAAATATAGACATTAAGACATGTAATGTTATTTGAAGTGTATAAACAATATTTTAATGAAATAAAATATTTTGTATATTCTATAAAAGAAAAAGCACTTTCTTGCCTATATCACTGAAGTTTGTGCTTATGTTTCAGCAAATGTTAATTGCAACTTGTTGTAATATCAATAATTAAAGCATAGGTACAAGGTTAAATTGTTAATTATGAGTGGAATATTGGATTGATATTAAATTATCAAATAAAACATTAAATATTTAATTAATTAGAATGCATCCCCAGATATTTATTTAGTTTTCAGGAATCTAAAACAATGAAAATTTCTTAAAAGTGTACTGGTAGCTTATACTATATTGATTGTGCTGAGTGAGCTCACTCTCCACTTAGTGTTGAATGCTTAGCGAAGCCCATGGACAGTGCAATGCCGCTACATTGTATGTTACATGCGGCAAAGTATCAATGGACATCCTAGCCTTCATGTATGATTGCTTTATGGCTAAAATTAGGTAGGATGGTGGTGCTTCAAATATGCTCTGCCAACAGCAAATGCTAGTTGGTGATCATAGTACTCCAATGAATAGAGAATACTGATGCGTATTCTCCTGAGTATCCCCTAGGCGTGTTTATGACACTTACATTAAGAGATAGGGTGGTGCTATTCTAGGTAGATGTCACCTAGTCAAGCCGTCGTTCTGTGTGCAAAAAAACCTTAATTTTTTTTTTACAATAGATGGTAGTAACACAATAATTAAATATCGACAAAGGCACCTTATTGTCTATAACCATGAAGAATACAAAGTAAAAAAAAATTTTGAAATAATGAAATGAAAATTATAAATGTGAGATTAAACAGTAATACTAGTATATTGAACATATTAGTTGAAATTTGCTGTTTTGTACATTTATATCAGTAAAAACTCTTAGCATATGTGTTAAATACATTTTAGTGCAGTATTGTTTCAATATATTTGTACAGCTGCACTAAATATTTATTTTTAGGAGTGAAAGAACATCTAGCTACACACACACAATCACACATACACTAGGATTATTTAACAGCAGCAAAATAGCTATGTACAGGGTATTTTTTATAATTCATGATCATACACCTTTTTATAAGCAGTCTTGCTTTATTTTCCTAGTAAAAAAAGTTGTTTCTTTTTTTATTGCTTAGATGGGTGGACGAGCTCACAGCCCACCTGGTGTTAAGTGGTTACTGGAGCACATAGACATCTACAACGTAAACGCGCCACCCACCTCGAGATATAAGTTCTAAGGTCTCAGTCTAGTTACAACGGCTACCCACCCTTCGAACCGAAACGCATTACTGCTTCACGGCAGAAATTGGCGGGGTCGTGCTACATACCCGTGCGGACTCCCAAGAGGTCCTACCAGCAGTGATTACGCAAATTATAATTTTGCGGGTTTGATTTTGATTACACGATGTTATTCATTCACTGTGGAAGTCAATCGTGAACATTTGTTGAGTATGTATTTCATTAGAAAAATTGGTACCCACCCGCCTGCGGGATTCGAACACCGGTGCATCGCTACACACGAATGCATCGGACGTCTTATCCTTTTGGCCACGACGACTACTAAATATTATATGTATTTAATAATGTCTATAAATCACTAAAGCTGAATAAAGCATTAATAAACATATTGAATATTTCAGGTATTGTGTTCAGTTGACATGAGATGGCTTCAGCTGACTCCGCACGATGACCTCATCTACACGACCTTTAGGCAAGACTTTCCAGATCTCAATGTATCCAATGTCAAAGAACATGAAATAAAGAGCAACGTAAATAAAGTAAAGTGGAGGATGTTCTGTGAAAAGTTCAAAAATATTGTTGAAGATTACAGCTTTGGTACTTTGCTACGTGTGGACTGCAAGGGAGATTATTCAGAGCGCAACACAATGTTGGTGCCTAGAGTACAGTTTTATGCAATAGAAATAGCGAGGAACCGGGAGAATTTAAATAATGAAGTCAAGAGATTGTTCAAATGTTCCTCAAAAAATAACACACAGAGCCAAGAGCAAGTTCAAATAGCTGTATAGAACTGAACATGTGTGTGTGGCTACAAAAGTGATAAAATCGTACTTTTTTATACCATAATTTGTGTATATTCATGTATTCAAAGTTAAAAAAAAAATTAAAATTCATGGAAGTATTTTGATGTGTTGGTGATCTGATTTAAATTATTGTTACATACATATAAGTGGTGAAATTTTAAAGTCCGATTAGACATAATAAAGACTGAGCATGGTGTGAAAAATCAATCCTTAAATAGGAACATGACTCAAAATTTCTACAAAATATAGTTTTAATTCAAAGTCTGTCATTGTCAGCTAATTAACATCTACAAACAAATTAAGGAGCTACTTAAAAAATATTGAATTGGAATAAAGGTCTATCCTATAAAGCCCTCCACTAGGTTTTTAGTTCTGTAGTATTTTATTTGAAAATTGATGCCTTCTCAGAAACAGTGTTACCATATTAAAGTTTAATAAATTCCTCTCTTACTTCCCTTTGCCTATCTACCACTAAATATATGAAATAAATGTAGGCAACAAGTTCTCCACCTATTGAATGTTAATGGTACTACACCACTAAGTGTTAATTAAAAACCATACATAATCTAGTAAACCAGTGTGATCATATTATAAAGGAATAAATAAACCCACAATTCATTTATCCATTAGGAACTAACACTTAGGATTATTGATGTCCATATAAATTGTGTTATATTATCATGTATGTAAGATTAAAATGAATGAGGTGCTCAATTTCTCATGCATTTTGTAATAAATTTTACACTCGAAATATGTTTCATTGCATCAGCTAAACCTGGTTACTCTGGTAGGGTTTACATCATCCATTATCATTTCATTACTGTTGTCATCGTGAAAGACTCGTGTATATTCGTTTGTAGTGTAATACAGCTATTTTATTAATGAACTATCTGTACTAGACAGCTCTTTTATAATTGAACTAGCTGTACTCGCCCGCTTCGCTGCGCATTTAAAATTAACGTTATTATTTATTATCATTATTATTAGGGAGTCCAACACTCATATAAATATTAGCCTATCCACTATGTACATGTATTTTCTACATGGATACCAAGTTTCAAGTCAATCGGATGCATGGTTCAGTACCGTAGTTATAACGGAACATCCGTAAAAACCACTGCAGATTTATATATTAGTATAGATTATGTCTAATTAAATGAAGTGTTTTTACGCTCTTTGGCTATTGTGGTCCAATAATCACTTAAAACCAGAAAAGTAGTATCAAAGTATCGGTAGTATTTTGATGACAGGCGAAGTGAAAACGATTACGCCGGCTATCTCAACTGGCGTTTGGACACCCTGCTAAATTGGTTACCGTGCTGCGTGTAAGGTGTCGGTCTTACTCCGCGTTGTTAATGGTTATAAGTGAAGAGTAACCGGTTAACGACGACTTGCGTACCGATTCGGCAGGCCGATTTTGAACCTGCGGGATATTTCTGCCGTGAAGCAGTAATGCGCTTCGGTTTGAAGGGTGGAGTAGCCGTTGTAACTATACTTGAGACCTTAGAACTTATATCTCAAGGTGTGTGGCGCATTTACGTTGTAGATGTCTATGGGCTCCAGTAACCACTTAACACCAGGTGAGCTGTGAGCTCGTCCACCCATCTAAGCAATAAAAAAAAATCCGGAACGCCGGTTATCTGTTAGGCGTCTTCAGGGTGGAGCCGCGAGTCTGGTTGTAGTTGATTGAGGGAAACCCCTACTCTGACCCAGGCGGAGATCGGACGTGGGGTGAGAGTGCAAGGGGAGTCGTTTGGTGGACAGAGCCTTAAAAGCATCCTTGAGTCCGCGTTCAACCGTCAAAGACCCGCATAAGCGCCCCTTAGGCGCGGAAACTACATCCATGAGGTTCAACCTCCTGTCCGAAAAAAGTCTAAAGGCTCGAACGCAACTCATTAATATTTAAATTTAATATTTAGTTCAACTACCCTATTAAAATCTTTGGTCCCAGTTGCATAAATTTGTTATTAGGCACAACAAACATCTTGATGTTTTAATAGAACGAAAAACACAATTAAGTTTAACGCAAGACGTTGAACGCCATACGAACAATCTTTGAGCCTAGCGCATAACATTTGGGTCAAGCCTAAATCAGGGAATCCATAATTTTTATCAACTTGCGATTTTCGTTTTAAAATTTATAAAATGCGAAAATTTGCACGGAAGATCAAAATAATTAGCAACTTTTCAAGTCTAGTTTTCAATATATTTTAAAACGCTATAACTTTGATAAAAACTACAAGTTTCTTTTGGATTTGAAAACCACGCCGTTCGTTTCGGCTAAGTGTCGCGCGGCTTACTTCCATACGTTTTATTCGATAGGCGCAATCTGTGGCTTGTAGGAAGCGTTTACGTTGAAACCCTCACGCAGCTTACGAGTGACCCTCATGGCCGTATGGTTCAGTAAGATAAGGCTCACCAGCAACCATCATGGCCTGAATGAAAATTCTCGATTTTTCATTTAGCGTTCAATGTGTTAAAGATTAATAGTATAATCAAACGAAGTTAAATGTGAAACAATTAAGATTGTTGTTGGTAGTAGCTATCCAACTATTGAGATTGTATAAAAATCCAAGTGAAAAATGAAACTGAGAAAGATTTTTAAAAATTTTATTTATCTTAAAAACTATTTGTTTAAGAGGCCTCCATGGCTGTGGCAGTTTCCTCGGTGTATTTACCCTTGTCTTTGCCAAGCGCAGCCAGTCTGCCCTTTGCTCTGCGATCGAGGATTGCTTTGCGGTCTTTATTCATCTTCAGCTTGACAATCACACACTGTAAATAAGTAAAGCATTATTTTTTGTTCTACAATCTTTGTTTAAAATTATAATTTTTTGGTGTTCTCAGAGCCATGGAAGTGTTACAGCATTAGCAAAGCTGTTGCCTTACTTTAGCCATCAGTCCAAACTTCTGGCATAGTAAGGCATGACAACTAAGTCTAAGGTTAAAAAATGTCATCATTGCTGAAGCTTTAATTAGTTTATGCCATTGGAATAATCTGTTGATAAGTATTTCGTTGTTAACATAAGAATTTGATCAAATGTGTTATTGACATTATTTACTGTACCTAATAAATTATTTGAATCTCAGAAAATACTATGAAATTTTGCAACATTTATAGGAAACAAGTCCTTTCAAGACATGCATGTTCAAAATTTTTAAGAGTAGAACACATTGCAGTAATTATTATGATATACATTACGTTAACACAATTCTAAAAATCTTCTAAAAATTAATGATTTGTTTAGTTTTATGACTATTATAATCTTATTCAGAACATTCTACTGTTCTGAGCCAGATTGCATTGCAGTTAAAGTAATTAAGCATCATGATTGCATTGCAGTTAAAGTAATTATTGTTTATATTTAGGTGCCTAATTAGCCTAATTGCACAATATTTGTTTAAAATTACCTTTGAAGGGTGAATGCCGACATATGCTGTTGCACCATTGGCCTTTTCTCTTTGAATCCTCTCAATGTATACAACAAACTTTTTACGATACACCTGCATCACTTTGCCAACCTGTTGACCTTTGTAGTGTCCACGTACAACCTGAAAAAAAGTGAAGAATTTTGTAGTCAATTTTATTCTCATCACAGAGAATGTTATATTGTACATACATGTTGTGTCATAATATTTATTAATCTATATTGTTATTTATTGAATAAAAACAACACACATACCATTTTATTATTTGATTTTTTATCATGTTTTATGCTATATTAAAATATAAATTTCGATACACATTTTAATCATTGTATTGTATGTTTTATTAAGAGCACTTATCTTTAATCTTTCTCTATTTTTATATATTTTTTATTTAGTTAATACTATTCCTCTGTTGTCTGTTCAATAAAATTTAATTAAAGTCATCAAAAGTAGGAAATTAATTTACATTTTTATTTTACACCAGACATGTTGGCATTCATGTTGTTTAATTAGCAATTGAGAACTGAATGCACTTCAGATTTTTTAAAGTTAAATTATAACCTCAAATATCTCTAAAAACCACGCCAAATGTGCGTCACAACATTTGCCGATGTAGCCCAGTGAATAATGTAATTGGGTACATAGGTATACCACATCAAACTTAAATCATGAAATTCACATAACCTACAATAAAACTTAACCCAAACAATATCCCCCGAATGTATTGGTGAAGCAAAATAATCAGAGCCAAGTTTTATACCATGGGACAGGCATGCTGTCTGCGCCCAGGACTTGTAGAAGAAAACCTTCAACTCATCCTTCGCGCGACAGCGGTACACCTGCTGTCTGTGAATGGTTTATTCTTCATCATTTTATTTCGCTTTCACCATAAACCGAATAGTATTTTTGTTTAATATTTTAGCTAAAGAGCTCACCTGAACTTCATCGTCTTTGCGAATAGGCATGGATTTTACATTGAATTTTTGTCTTAGTTCCTTAGACAGGGGAGAGGACATCAACACTCGCCTTATATGTGAAGGAGCACTGAAATGCCTCTTCCTGTTTTTCCTTCTTGAGGAAGTCACCTGCTTGTTGAACTTCATTCTGTCGCTCTTCGCTGCAACGCAAAAACACCACGTTTATTCACAGTACTTTGTTTAGGTTACTGTTTCGTGCGTGCAAAATGTCAAATTGCCGCGATATGTTTTTCGAACCCTTTCACTGCATAATAGGAAAATAACCATTGTAAACAAAATGGAATATTGTGGTATATTTGAAATTAAGAAAATTATCACATTAAAACATATTTGAAGTAAGATTTACGCGGATTTGACAACATACCCAAAACGACACGGCTAAGAACCGAAATAGAAAAGGAAGTTATTTGCTGCAAATGTTGCCAATCACAAATTTAAAAGCAGAAGGTTCTCAGAAATTTGTCCGAAACGATTCAATTTAACATTTGTATTTTTAGTCTTTATTATATTGTAAGAAATAATATAAATATGTCATTTAATACACATATAGTAACCATGTCAAACACTGATATGGAAATTTAATCTCTTGTAATTTAATTAGATATTTAAAATTTTCCGGACAGATTCGATCAATTGTACCCTATTGGCAACATTGAATTTTGCGTCAAAGGTAAAACTTCATTCTACGCAACTTTAGCAAAATTTGTAATCATTTAAATGATAAAATAATTTAAAGGCTCCAATAAAATTTGTTTTTTAATTCATAAAAGATACAGACTCAGATCAATCAGCACAGGAAACTTAGATTGGTCTAGTTAAGCAATTCCTTATTATCGTTACATTGTGTAATTTAAATAATATATTGTGTGTATTTGAGAACATATTTTTTTTGCGTTTGTTGACAATAAATTATAAGCTTCAGCTTAATTCGCAAGCCATTCAATTTATATTATATTTTTATATTAATATAGGTATATTTAGTTTTAACATTAATTTCTTCGTTGTACTGATAGAACATTAACAGATTGAATGGTTGTTTTCGGAACATATTCTGTCATACAAGTTACTTACTTAGATAATATTCAAGTTAAATAATGTATGACATCATTTGTAGCTAATCATTGTGTCTTATTGTCTGGCCGTTTATTTTGATAATTTGATTTAATGAATTGATGAATTTTTTTCTTGTGATAGTTGGGTGCACAAGTTCACGGACTACCTGTTGTTAAGTGATTACCGGAGCCCATAGACAGTTGCAACGTAAAGGCACCACCTCGAGATGTGAGTTCTAGGGTCTTAGTTTTTATAGTATTACCGGTATTTAAATCCCGC